GGACAATGGCCCACGCAAAGGTATGGAGAAGAGAGATGAAGTGTCTTGTGTGAGGAGCAGCAAGGAGGCCACAGTTACTGTATCACAGAGTGTGTAGAAGGGAATCAGGTACAATAAATGTATCAAAGAAAGACTGGCTCAGTTTGTGAGGAGCTTTAAAAGCTAAACAGGGGTCGGTTGAAGAGATGATTGGGAATCACTAGAATTTACTGAATAAAGGGATTGATTTACTGAATAATGGGCATAACATGGATTGTAATCCACCAAAGAAGACCAAGGCATTTTGAGAATAAGGGAACAGAAAATTATGAGGAGAACAAAGAAAGAGCCATGCCATGAAGACCTAGAGAGGACACCCTAACCAGGTGGTGGAAAGGTCCTGAAAGTTATGACTTTCTCAAGGTTGGGTGAACAGTAGGAATGCCAGTTGAATTATGCTGTTCGCATATTTCTGCTGGTTGAAGGTTAATGCCTGCGGCACCAAGTGTCTTCTAGCATCACTTCATTTGGGGAGCAGGAAGGGTTAAGGCATATGCAGTGAGGCTCTTGCCTTCCCTTGCTGCAGGAGACAAACGTGCAATCAACTATGCAAATATCCTAAGCAAGGGGAAGTGTTATCTATAACTAAACTAATTACTCCTTTACTTAGTAGAACAGAGAGGCTTTGGGCCCGTTAATTGGGTATTGTTCTGGCTCACTTGATTTTTAAGAGATTAAAAAAAAATCATCATTCTGTTCTAAACCCCCAAACTCCTTTCTTTCAAACAGGCTTCATTGCATGCATTCATTTTCTTTACCTATAAAATCACAAGGCAGGTTTATCCCAAGAGTGGGATAGCTCAGGGTATAAAAGCTTTTATGATTCTTAAACTTTCACTGCTCACTCTACTGAATAAAGCCCTGGGGTGATGTGGCGTAGCTGGGTGGAGCTAGATAGTATCTTATTCCAGAAAAGCAACTTACAATTCAATTCAATTTTGAAAAAAACCCTGTTCTTTCTGCAAAGCGCTGGACTAGGCACTGGGGTTACAAAAAGAGGGATACAATATAGGCTCGGCTCTCAAGGTAGCTTGCTGTGGTGAACGGAGTGCCAAACTTGGCTTTAGGAAGACCTGGGTTCATATTCTTCCACTGGCTCCTCTTTGTCACTTGAACCCTCCAAGCATAAATGTCTTGTTCTGTAAAATGGAGATAATAATGTCTTTCCCTTAAGGGTACACTTACTTCATGAGGTTGTGGTCATTATACCTATTTAAATGTAAGTGTTACTAGTCAAGGAGTCTGAGACAAACTTACCATTTTATCAGATTCTGAAATGTCCTGAATCAATTCAAGAAGCAAGAGCATTCTTCCATATGACTTGCTTCTCTCCTCCTTACTCCGGCCCCTAGCCTCACCAGGAAAGAAATCCCCACTGTAACATGTACACCAGTTGAGTTGGGTCTCTGGATTCCAGATCTCCAAATTCAGTGAGCTTTAAACAAAGCCATGCTGTCTCCACTTAACCATAGTGCCTCTGATCGGAGCACAGTGAGGCCAAGAATTAGGTCCCTATGCAAGCCATTTGGTTTCACCATGAGGTCACAAATTGCGTACTTCATACTCCAGGCAGTTTTCTTTAAAAGGCACGTTATAATGCTCCAAAGGCAACTAGATGGTGCAGTGGATAGGCCTGGAGTCAGTAGGACCTAAGTTCAAATCCAGCCTTAGACACTAGATGTGTGACCCTGGGCAAGTCACTTATCTCTCAAGTCTGCTTTAGGATCCTCAATTGTAAAATGGGGATAGTAATAACACCGACCTAACAGGGTTGTGAATATCAAATGAGATTATACTTACAAAGCACTTAGTATAGTGTATGCCACACAGTAGGCTCTTATTAAATACTTGTTTCCTTATAATGGGGAGAAGGGAAGAGAGCATGCTCAAACAGGTCATTTGTTTGGCAGGGACCTATGATTTCATTGCTGTTGGGAACTTCAGGTGTGGAAATATAGCAACTTCCTTTGTGATAATAATAATAATAATAACTATTACTATAATAATAAAAGCATTTGTATTTTCTCATTTGATCTTCACCGCAGCACTGTAAGATAGGTGTTATTGTTATCCCCATTTTACACAGTAGTAAACTGAGATTAGGCTAAGTAACACACCCAGGGTCTATAGATGTCTGAGGCAAGATTTGAACTCAGATCTTCTGGACTTTAAGCCCAGCACTCTATTCACTATGCCACCTAGCTGCCATTGCCTTTAATGGTAACACAATTGGTACGTGTCAAAAGTAGTATTTTGAAATCAAGTCTTCCTCGGTCAAAGTTGAATTGTATATTCACTCTGCTAAGATGCCTTTCTAATCTATAAAGACTACAAGTTTGCAATAAAAAAGATTATAAAACGAAGTCCTGGCCTTAGGTGACTAAATTGTGTTATGATTAAAGAACCAGAATGAGACCAAGGAATGATCTAGAGCAGGAGTGGGGAGTATCTGAATAATCAGGCATCTCCAAAGCTGGATGTCAGATGTTCAAAATGTCAAAAAGTGAATAGCTAATTCTCAGCAATACAATGATCCAAGACAATTCTGAAGGATTTATGATGAAAAATGTTATCCACCTCCAGAGAAAGAACTGATGGAGTCTGAATGCAGATCGAAGCATATTTGAACAAAACCAAACCTTTATTTTTCTTGTTTTTTTTTGTTTGTATTTTCTTTCACAATTTCACTTATATGGAAATCTCTTTTGCATGACTGCACTTGCATAACCTATAATAAAGTACTTGTCTTCTCAGAGAGGCGGTAGTGAGGGAGAGAATTTGGAACTCAGAATATAAAAAGTGAATGTTAAAAATTGTTTTTACATGTAATTAGGGGGAAATAAAATATTAAATAAAAATTTTAAAAATTAAAAAAACAACAACCCAGAATAGCTGGAGAGTAGCATGTGACTGCCCATGTGTGTAGGACTTATCAAGTCTGTTGAGACATCAGGTTATTTGACCTAACTTCAAGATGGTTGGAATAAATTCCTTTTTCTTTCCCTCATTTTATAAATAATAGTTGAATTCAAAAGTTTTTGTTAGCTAGTCAGATTAGCAGGGATTGGATTTGGCTTTGACTGAACAGATCTCATATTCGTATGGCAAATAGCAAAATGTCAGTCCTCAGCTGCCACCAATGGTCTCAGCTCTTAGGAGAGGCTTCTGAATGAAGTCACTTTGGGACTTCAGCTCACTGAGATCTGGAACTCTTTCAAATTCTGCACATGTGTGAGAAATCTGCTGTGGGAGCTCAAGGGGTTTAGAGGATTTCTAGTACAGCCAAGTCTTCCAGTGTGTTTGTCTTTGCTACATTGGAGAAAGGCAGTAAAAATGAGTGTAAACTGGGCTTTTCATATGAAGCTCTGGATAACATTTTAAAATGGAATACATTCAAAGTCTACTTCTCTCTTTGGGAAAGGTAAGAGAAAGTACTTAAATATACATAGTAATTTTCTTGTTTCAAAAAAGATTCAAAATATTTCACTTCTTTTACCTCATGAGATCTGTGAAATTGTGGGGGAGAACACAGAATCACAGATGCAGAGCTGTAAGGGGCCTCTAAAGACAGCTTTATTTACAGTTCAGGAAACCGAGGACCAGAGAAGACATGAACAATTGTTCCATCTCACCAGTAGAAAAACTGAGACCAGATAGGTTGTGACTTGTCTGTGGTTCCCATGGTAGTCAGTACTAATGCCAAGGATAGACTCCTAAGTCTCTTAAATTCCTTTCCACAAGTGGGATCACATTTACTTATGGCAGCTTTGTGGCACAGTGAGTGAGGAAGGGTTCAAACCCTGCTGCAGGATTGTACTAGCTGTGTAACTATGGGCAGGTTATCTAAGTTTCTTAGCAGCTGTTTCCTCATCTGTAATTACTGTACCAAGCTCACAGAACTGTTGTGAGGATCCAGTGAGATAACCTAGGCAGATGCTTACAAATCTTAAAGCACTATAGAAATGTTAGCTGTTATGGGTTTGCTACTTTCTCACCTCTTGCCTTCTGTCTTCCACTCTTTGGTTCATCAGAAGTATCGATGATACTCATGATTCTAGAGACTAAAGTTATGTATGTCTCCACATGCAAAATAAATATGATATTGTCAAATGAGCTATATGTTTTATTCTTTAAAGACGCATGTGAATTACTACTCAGTCAACATAAGTGCCATGATTAGCTTGGATCTGTAGAACTGGAAGGCACCATAAAAATAATTTTGTCCAACTATCCCATTTGACAGCCAAGGCCCAGAAATATTAAATAGTTTGTCCAAGGTCATGCAGATAGTAAATGGCAGAACCAGGATTTGAACTTAGTTCCTTTGATTCTTAATTCAATGCACTATATTGACCCTATTCAGCATGAGAAAGGGCGCCTGGTCATACTATTGTCTGAGTTAGTTTATAGAAGGAGGCATACTTTACAAAGAGGTCTGCAAGATGGCAGCCAGAGTGGATGTCATTGAGATCTCCATGTTCCTCCTAGTAGAATAGAAGCTCTTTAAGGGCAGGGAGTATTTCATTTTTTCTCTCTCTGTATTTCTAGTGTCTGGTACATCACCTTGCAAATACAGTCACTGAAACAATGCTTATTAAATTGAATTGATTTCTATGTCAATGAACTAGCTGGATAGCAACTAACTTACAGGGAGGAAGCCGCTGCCATTAGCACCTCTATAGTCTCTGAATGCTATTTAACAAATGGTTGTCTATAGAGTCATGTGTAGGGAGTGCATTGCATTCTGCAAGAGAATACTTAGCTGACTGCAGAAGAGCTTTTGGTTTAGCAGCTCTCATAGAGAAAAAGATGAAAATTGGGCAAATATCATTAATACCAATTTTGCTGGGATCCAATCTTCCAGAAAGGGAGAGTGAAGTTCTTTCATCCGGAATTCCATCAGCTCCCCTGTCTGACTTAACTTGACACGGCTTTCTTCTTGTTTCTCTGTTAATCCCCAGAATGCAGCCGCAACAGCAGCAACAGCAGCGTCGAAAATTTGCAGCTGCCTTCCTGGCCTTCATTTTCATTTTGGCAGCTGTGGACATGGCTGAAGCTGGCAAGAAAGAGAAACCAGGCAAGTAAAAGATCCTCCTGGGTCTAAGGAAGAGTGTGGGAGCTAGCACCACTCTTTATTCCCAACGGCCTTCACGCCACAAAAGGGTGGGCAGCAACAGTCCTTTTCAGTATAATCCTACATCCAGGAGGAGCAAAGATTTAGAACTGGAGGGATTGTAGATGTCTTTTCTACCAACCTTTCCTTTTTACACATGAAGCAGCCAAGGCCCAGCATGGTGATGTGACATATAGACGGGGTTTGAATTCAGGTTCTTCGACTCCAGAGCAAATACTCTTTCTGGGAAATCATGCTATTCTGCAGATAGAACTGAATCCTAGCAAAAGGGAAGTCACTTGATTGTGACAGTTAATCTGACTGCAGGTACTGCTTTCTTATTAAGTGTTAACTGCTTTGGATCGTTAATTCTACATATTGGCCACCTCCCACCCAACACAATTTTTTTATGGCACATTCCAGAAGGTCAGGAGGGTACTTAAGAAGGTTGTATGCTTAAAGAAGCTTGCCTGAGTGCTGTTTATTCCTTTTCCAATTCTTTTAGAAAAAAAGGTGAAGAAATCAGACTGTGGGGAATGGCAGTGGAGCGTGTGTGTCCCGACCAGTGGGGATTGTGGGCTGGGTACCCGGGAGGGCACCCGAACTGGTGCAGAGTGCAAACAAACCATGAAGACTCAAAGATGTAAGATCCCATGCAACTGGAAGAAACAATTTGGAGGTAAATATAAGTATCATCTTTTCATGTTCTATTTTTCTTGAATTAGAGTATTTTCCCCACTCATTTCCTTACATTTTTGATAGTGATTCTTTAATGGTACAGTGATTCATTATATTAATCTAATTTCGAGATACATTTTGTTTTTACATCACAATAATTTCTGAACATACTTCTCTTCCCCCTTCCCTCATAACAATAATTTAGAAAAGAAAACAAAAAGGAGTTTAACAAAACCAACTAACGCATTGATTTTATCTGGTGTTTGCAACATTTTATACTCATAATCCCTCACCTCTTCCATGAAAGGAAGTGTATTTTTTTTAATCGTTTTTTCTCCAGGAACATTATGACTATATAATGTCCATTTTCATTTTTTTTTGTTTTATTTATGTCATCATAGTATTTATGTATATTGCTTACTTCACTGCATGTCATTTCATGTCTTCTCATGTTTTTTTCTGAATTCTTTATCTTCTTCATATCTCATGGCAAGGTAATAATCTTTACAAACATGTAATAATTTTTTTTTAGCCTTTGCCCAATCAATGGGCACTTACTTTGTTTTCAGTTCTTTGCAACAACAAAAATAACAAATAAAGCAATAAAAAAAAATCCAACGCAAGAAAAATTATGATATATTTGGGGCTTTCCGATCTTTGTATTCCTTAGGGGCATATGATAGAAGTGGAATCTTTGCAGTCAAAAGGTGCATTACCCATTGGTCCTCATACTGTCTCTTCCCTTCTTTCTTAGGATGAATTTCCCAATCTTTATACTCCTAAGTTTAATGTTAAACTCCTAGTGAGCACCTCCTCTCTACCTCCAAAATCTTGAGTCCTTCCTAGCCAGGGGCACAAGATTAAACAATTTTTCTCTCTGGGCCTTTCTATAATATATGTCATATCTCATCACTTCAGAATGAGCCCTGTATATAGTTACCCTTTACGGATGGAAATACTGAACAAAATGTGTTATTTATTGGCATTGAGCACAAGGGGGCAAGTATACTCAGTAGAGAAAGGTGAGGCACCTTTGTACTTAAATTCCTTAGGATGGGACCTAAAGACCTATCTGTGGGAAATCTGAAATATTTCTTTACTTTTACTCTGCAGTAGTGAGCTCATCCTGAAATGTATTTTTGCTCCCTTTTTTGTTTTTAGCAGAGTGTAAATACCAGTTCCAGGCCTGGGGAGAGTGTGATGCAAACACTGCCTTGAAGACAAGAACGGGAAACCTGAAGAGAGCTCTTCATAATGCTGAGTGTCAGAAGACAGTCACCATCTCCAAGCCATGTGGGAAAGTTACCAAACCCAAGCCACAAGGTAGATTCTGATGATTGCAGTATAGCCTTCTGGGTTTATTAGAGTTATATAAGATCTGGATCTGTAAAAATCCAGATAATTTAGAGAGAAGTTTTAGGAATTTTCTTAGTTAAAGAAGAACTGGAGGAGTCCCAAATAATAGTGAGATTGTCTGTAGATACTGTTGTCAGATGACAACCTCATGCAGATGAAAACTCCTTCAGGCCTTCTTATTTTTATTATTCTTATCTACATATTTTTAGACACAATAGACAATAGAGATGTATTTATAAATACATTTATACTTATGTATTTATATGAATCCTTTATGAAGAATAGATACATGACATCTTGGAGATCTTTTTTCATTTCTCTCTTTAGTACTTCATGGTTTAATAATATCCCATTTAGGTTGTCCACATATCCTATTGATAGAACATAATTAGTGCACCTGCTTTTCTAATCATACATGCTCAATAATATCTGTCCCATCACTTCTGATATGCAAGTTGTTGATAACAAATGTCAGCCTGCTTATACCCATAGCATGAAATATCATTGGCATTATCTATTATTTTAATTCTTCTGAGATCATACTGCTACTTAACAAGCAATTAAAAAAAATTGTATAGCACTTTGCAATTAAATGTTACAAGAGAAAAAGCAAAAATGTCTCCAAACTGAAAAACAAAACAAAGCAAAACTTATCAATATTGTGGATAGGGGCCACTAAAGGAGTATTTCACACCCCTGAACCAATTTTCTCTAGGTGGGTTTGCCAATTTCATGCCATTTCCCTCCCAATTTCAAGCTGATCATTTCAGACAAGTGAAGGCTTTGCTTGTTTATAGTGGCTGAGGAATTTTGGAATTGAAGATATCTAGAACCTCAAGTCATTCCTGGCAGCTGGTGTGTGTGTGTGTGTGTGTGTGTGTGTTTGTGTGTGTGTATCTGGCAGTGTATGTAAAAACACTACTGCTTATGTCAGCATCCACAGATGGATTATCTAATCAAAGAAAACAAGAATATTCATTGATTAAAACATATAAAAATGTCAGAAACAGATTAAAAAAAAAAAAGGAAAAGTACCAGAGAAATTCAACACATCTTTGCTATGGAAGCAAGAAATATTAACAGAGTTACTTTGTTGCAGTAATAAATTAGATGAAACCAACTGTGATTCACTCAACAAACGTGTTATGTGTATGGTGCTGTGCTAGGCACTGTGTATGTTGTCACTGAGAGGACCAGTGATTGTTTTGGTGGTTGGGGAAGAAACTGTGAGACTTATTAAGTTAGAGAAGATGAGGGTTCAATTAATGGGAGAGAGTGAGTAGATACAAAGAAGACGAGAGAGAGAAAGATTATGATCCAATGGGTTTATGGAAGGGAAAGAGGGGAATTAGTTAGAAAGGGCATTCTAGGGTGTTGACTCAATGAAGTGAGATCTCTACTTTGGTTGGACTGCTGAATATTTCCTACTTTTCTTTTTCTTCTGTAAATTTCAAAGGAAGGACTTTTTGACCAAGTGAAATATATTATTAAAGATACAACGTGAGTTAAGTTTTTGGTTCAGTCTACTCTATTGTAAATAACCATAGGTTAAAATCTTTCCAATGGGCATATTTTGGGTCATTTTCAATGTCTTTTGATGGAATTTGATACAGGATTGCTTAGTTAGAGTATCTGTACTGAGTTAGGCCTAGAGTTTGCAAAGTTACCGGTCATACTTGAAAGAGACAGGAGAGGGTAGTGTAGCATCTCCAAATACACATAACAGAGCAGTTACCAATTTCACAGTCAATCTTCTGAGCTCACAAAGCAACTCTCCTCTTTTTGTCACAGACTCTCGTTAATACCAGACACTCATTTTTCTCCTAATCAATTGAGCTTACTAATGAATTCTGTTACAGCATCGGGCACAAAGCACTGGGAATAATTTATCCAGGAGTAGAGGCAGTGTGGTGTCTCAGATGATTTGCTTCATAGGCATCAAATAGATTTCCCACTGAGCCAGATGTTTTTTAGATTAAATACAAGTCTAACATGAAAGATGGTATAGGTAGATTGTGTGTTTATGATGGTCTCGTATCTATTAATGAAAATGATAATCTTTGCTTTTTTTTCATTTTTACCCTTAGAATTAACTTTAAACTTTCCCAACATATTTTTTTTCTTTGCTCTAATCAATAGTAGAGAAACTTAAATCAACCATAGGCACAAATTCTTTTCCATGTTTTTTTTTTAATGGGGTGAAAATACTTTGCTTGTAATAAACTTGTAGAATTTAAATTCGAAAATTGACCTGGTTGAACCTCCAAGGGTAACCTTAAGGGTAATGGATGTTGAATTGTGGGGAAAATAATTTATTATATCGTTTGGGAAAATTTATTATACTGTTTAAATCTAATCGCATGTGATTAAAGGTTATCCATAGCCAAAATGTAGCTTGACACCAGTAACTCTCTAGGAATGAATGCCAGAGATGGCGGAAGGTATTTCCAATTCCTCCAGGCCCCAGTTCCACCCAAAGCATTCTTCTTTTGGGTTACTATACCCAGGAACTCTTGAGAAGTTCAGCTCAAGCTTCTATTTTGTGTTACTCATATCTATCTTAATCTACCTTGCTTTCAGGCAGCCCTTTTGGCAAAATTGCTTAAGTGCATAACCATGGTACATGGACTTACTGTGTGGGAAACATTTGCCAAAATCCTATATAATGTAAATCTTCCAGAATTTGGGAGTAGAGAGAGCCACTCCTTTTCTGGCTCTCTCTTCTCTACCAAACGGCCTAATACATTTCTCTCTAAAACTGTTTCAGATTTTGGGGTCTGTTCTCACGAACAACAGAATTCCAGTCATGATTCTGCTACTGGGCTTTCACCCGGTGGTTATCTAATATAGGGCAAGTCCTTGAACCACTCTAGGCCTCTGTTTGTCATCTGTTAGTCCTGGCAGTTGGGCTAGATGATCTCTGAGGTTTCTTCCAACTCTATAATTCCATGACCTTCTATGTCAGTCAAAGTACTCCATTTATACCCCCTTTTCTTTACTTGTGCAAGGTAGGACCATGTGAGAAGGATTGATGGCCAGAATTTTCTCCACTTCTGAATTGACATCTCTAGTTGCTAATAAAATCTAACTCCATTCAAACCTGGGGAGAACAGAAAAAGAATTTTTCATTGACATTAAATCTATCATATGAATCGTATAATCTCCTTTCTTTTTTTAAAGAATTGAGAGACTATGGATATGGAACACGTATGTCAAGTAGGACTTGGTGAATATGTTGGTTGACTTTGCTAAACTTGTTTTGTTTTCTTTTTTTTACTCATTGTTGTAAGAGACTCTCTGGTAGCAAAAGGGAGAGGCATATAATGGGACATGCAATTGATGTAAAAACAAAGATAATTAAAAAAAATTAAGTAAAGCACAGTCATAGAGACCGAGCTTTTGGAGTGGCATTGTAAAACAAATTCTCAATAGCTTAATTTCTACTCAAAATGACTGTTTTTAAAAGTGCCACTATTTTTGTTGCTCTTTTTGGAACTTTACCAAGTTCCCTCTTTCATCTGACTTTTTAACTGGAAGGATCAAAGGATTAGCAAGTACTTGAGTTTGGGGACTGTGTCTTTCCAGTTGTTTATAGGGGATTGCATTTGGTGGACACGCTCTTAAATAGCAAGGAGGGATCATAAAAGTGATCATTAATGTTCTTTCTCTGCCATGTGGTGTCTTTTCTTGGGTCTTTGAAAAATAACAGAAGAGTTTTACTGCCTTCCCCTTGGATTGTGTGAGCTTTGATATCCTATAGGAATGTGCACAGTAGCCCAGCCTAGCTAGTGTCTGGCAGCCTGAAAGCACTCAAAGTCTCTTGAATCTATGCTGACAATTTGAAGGAGACAAACATTTTTGCCAGGCTCTGATGGGCAGAAATTCCTGCAAATGAATCCCCATCTGCTACTCCCCACCATGGCCACTGTGGTTGAATTGATGATTATTTCTCTTTCAACTGACAAAAGAGACAGGATGGGACTTTCTTAGAACATTTTGCTCTTCTTTGTCAGAAGGAGAAACTTAATATTGAGCTTGCTTTCAGTATTCTCTTTTTGGTTCTCCTGATGGAAACAACTTATTTGGTATCTCTGTGTTTTTCTGCTCATCTCAGTGCCACAATATACTTTCTTTCCTTCTTTTTTCAACTCTACTTTTGTGTTTTAACAAAGTCCTCATTGTGGTTCCTCCTTTCTCTTCCCACACCAACGTGCTCAGGGAACCTGGATACTATCTACCATATTACTTTCTGTTATTTTCCTGTCTCTTATGCCCTTACTTCTCCCCTCTGTCTTTCCAAATCTGTGAAGTTCTACAGAGTTCATCTTAAGTTTTACCTTCATATAGTTTTCCTTCAAAACTTTAGCCATCACTACTTACCCCCCTTCCAGAAGACCCAAAGACTTAGTGTCAATCCTACACAACTAAGTTGTGTGATTCTACTCCATTTAGCACTTTGCCTATTATATACTATATTTTATGGTCCTGTAAATGTCTCATGCTCATAAGACTCAACTCTCTAGTCAGATAATCTTTTTTGGGGTAGGAATTATCTCTTATTTATACTGTACTCTTCACAACATCTAGCATAATTCTGGCACTCAATGAATCTTTGTTGAGCTAAATGGAATTGAATTGACTAGAACAATGTCCCTACCTCCACTGGGTAGCCTTTAGAGAACCTTGGTCATTTACTCGATGCCCATCCTCCTCTTTTTTCTATTGAAACTTCTTACATTGTCCTTTGGAGTTAGCTTTGAGCAGTTATTCATGGGAAGGAAGACCAAAATCTCCCTTTTTTGCATAATAGATACCTCAAGTTGCCTCCTTCCATTCATACCTTCTCTCTTCCCCCCGAAAAAAAAAAGTACTTACTTTGATTTGCAGAAAACTTCTGAGGTTACAATGATGTACCAAGGTTCCCAAAGTAAGTCCTTCATGGAGAAGCATGTAGGTGGCAGGTGGGA